GAATTAAATCCAGATTATTAACAATAAGAACCCGACCCTGTAAGACAATTTAGGTTAAAAATCCTATTTCCACTTCTTAGCCGACCTTTGACCTTTTCTAAATCATATATCCAGTTTTTTCTTTAGAAACGTTTCATTTCCCTAAAAACACTCCCAGATATTTTAGCCCTCCTGTTCTCCCAGACTAACCCATCTAGGTAGCCTGAGCCGATCCCTCAGCCGTCCCCCACCATGACAGCCTCACTCTTCCCCAGTTCACTCCTACGCTGGAGGAATAGAGCCATTAAACGGGGTTCACGGTGTTCTCAAAAATATCAATATCGTCTGAGAGTTGACCAGGACCATGACTACATCGCAAGATATGAAGCAGAGAGAAAAAGAAGAATAACAACAGAATAACAGCACGAACACTAACAAGAATACAGATATCATACACATTGTAAAAGAGAGGAACTCGATAGGACAAGAAGATACAACATGACCAGACGAGGAAGAACTAAGATAAGAACACCCACTCATAGAACCACACAGAGAAGAGCACTCAATATAACCACACATATATAATATTCCACACACGACCAATGTACACCATAGAGACCTGATCGGCTATGAAACCAAGAGGCATAGACCACAAAAGACAGCATAAACTAACAGATACTGGTGATTACACCAGGTCAAAAGCTCCTTTCTACACAGTCATATTTGAAATCAACCAGATGCTCAGAGCACATGACGCCAGAAGACCCTCCACCAAAACATACAACGACATTACACCACGGACACATTCCGTCACTTCATCAGCCCCTGCCGGCCAGCACACCCAGTAAGTCTGGTCAGATGTGAGCAGACAAACAGCAGCATACACCCCTTCGTACTGGTTGCAGGATTGACAGAAATGCATAATAAGTCCGCTGCAGAGCACGTGACAGCGTCATCCAGAGATTTTCACAGCCCCTTGCCAGAACGCTCACCTCCTTCAACCCCCCCGTACGACCGGGTGATGATCGCCCTCCCTAACCAGACCTCACGGAGCCGCACAGGCCGAATACCGTCTCTTTATGAGTCCTCTGTAATCCCACTCCAGCCTCTATCTCTCTACCTAACTGACAGAAGCTTTTATTTCACCCAAGCTCCCCACCACGCTCTTCCCACTGCCTCATCCCTATATCGGCCTCTTACCCCGTCCATCTCTCTCAACACTCATCACGCGCCCGCACGACCCAGTCTAGGACGAGTTAACAGCAATTCAGCCTCCCCTACCCATTCCTCTTCCCATCTCCTCTCCCAGTCTATACCCCCAATCTATCACCCCTCCAAAAAATAAACTCACTAAACACTCCTGTAATCAGCTGGCGCAGCTCTACCTCCCTCCCCATCATCACCGTGTGCGTCTAGAACTCTCTCCCTGTCCCATCCAAGCCTGGAGCTCTGCCACTCTGCAAACTCATCAGAGCCGCAGACAGTTCAGGAAGAGTTAACAGAGACTTCAGCTTATCATTGTCCTCTTCTTCCACCTGAGGGAGATCAGTGAGGAAACTGCTGCACATTGAAGGGTTCGAAGTGAATTCACTCTTAAACAGATCTGTGTAATAGCTGGCCGCTAGCCTCCTGATCCCATCAGAGTCTGAGATCACAGAGCCGCCACCAGACCGTAAGGAGTAAATCACCTTCCTCTGACGATTCCTCTTCTCCAAGCCAAAAAAAAACTGAGAGGGGGCATCCATCTGTGAGACGTCTAGAAAACGTGACCTGACCAGAGCTCCCTGTGCTGCAATGCCCAGCAGGTTGGCCAGAGCCGACTTTTTGGATTTGAGGGAATCTAAAAGCCCTCGATCTCCTGTAGAATCTTCCAAACCCTGCAGTTCTACCACCTGAATCTCTAGGTCCTGCATAGATCTGGTTAAATCTCTGGTGACATTGCGAGTGAACCTCTGACACAACTGTTTGATCTGAGCTTTGCCCACATCCCACCACTGTTGTACACAATTAAAATCACTCTTACAATGTCTGTGAGCAGCCCAAAAACACTCAAAAGCTGCTCTGAAATCCTTGCTCTGAAGCAATGAGCTGTTAAAATGCCAGTAGGCACTCTGCAAACGCACATTTTGGATTAAAACAGAGCTAAAAACAAGACAGTGGTCAGAGAAACCAACAGGGGTAATGTGACAACTGTTAAAAACGTTCAAACTATGCCTAAAACCGTACAGACGGTCCAACCTGGCCAGAGATATTTTGTTATCTTTGCAGTGACTCCAGGTGTACTGCCTGTGATGTGCATGAAAACTCTGCCACACATCTGACAGCTCATGTGCTTCTGTCAACTGTCTGAACCTGTGTGACGAAGCAGGATGAGGTTCATGGTGGTTTCTATCCAAACTTGGATTTTCAGTGCAGTTAAAATCGCCCCCTAAAAATAAATATTCATCTCCGTTACAGTTCCTGATAGTATTACATAAAATGTCAAGGACTGCTACTCTTTGCACTCCATTGGTTGGAGCATAAACACAGATAAAAACAGCACTAACCCATTCAAACTGAGCTGTGACCTTAAGTATACAGCCTTTAATTACTTCGTCCACAGTGTATGAAGCAGGCAGGAAGCTCCTGGAGAAAACAATCCCCACTCCTCCACTACAGCTGGACTTGTGGCTCAGGATGACCTCCCCAGAACATCCCCTCCTCCAGTCACTCTCAATATCAGGGGTACTGTGTGTCTCCTGAACCATCATGATATCAATATGTTTCAACAATTTAAAGAGAGCAGCCCTTTTACCGTCATCTCTAGCTCCATTAATATTTAAAGTGCCTATCTTAAAGTCACACATGGAGAGAGAGAGGAAAAACACAAGAAAGTAACATAACAGTAAATAAGAAAAATACTTATTGTTAAATATCTTCATGGAGCTCATTGGTTCTGATCTTGTGAACCAGTTTACGTGGTCTGTGGACTTCCTGCTCAGATATAACATCATCCCCTAAATTTGCGGATTTCAAAGTAAGGGGCCTTGCTGATTTAACGAAGAGTTTGAGAACAGGGAAAAAGTTCTCCAATTTTACAAGCCTGTGGCCTTTAGTTTCCCTCAGAAATTTTGTAATGTCATCAGGAGAGTAAAGACTCTGTTGATCGTCGTGTGTCAGTGAGAAGTCACTCTCCGACTCCATTGACTTCCTAACTTTCGGGTTCCCTGCTCTTAAAACCTTTGCTCTGCTCTGAACAGACTCCTGATTTTTTTCCTTTTCTGTGACACCATTAACAAATCATCATCTGACATATCCTCGTCTACAAAAATATCCTCATTATCAGACGACTCACTTTCACTCGAACCTTTATCAGCAGGCTTTGACCTGTCTTCAATCAGAGCTGCAGAATCAGACTCACCCTGACGCTGATCACCTTTTTCAGCCCCCTCATTCCCAGAACAAGCAGGGGGGGCACCATCAGCGGGATCCCCGCCGGGAACGGCAACGCTCGACCCGGCGCTGCCAGCAGATTCAATCGGCCCTGGAGCCGCCGATCCCTCGCCGGGAGCCGGACCCTGAACAGCAGAGACCGGAGTTACCGGAGCTACCGGAACCGGTTCCGGCTCCCGACGAGGGGCCGCCGGCCCCCCAGCAGCAGCAGCCAGCCGCCGCACCCCCTCCCGCTCCGGGTAGGAACGGACCAAATGTCCCTCTGCCCCACAACCGAAACATTTCATGGTGTCCGATGAAGCGTAAACCATATAGTTAAACCCTTCCACCTTAAAATTAAAGTTCAGATTCAGCTCAGTGTTATCTTTCAAAACCACAAACATTTGTCTGCGGTGACACACGACATGTTTTAGCAGGGGAGATTTGCAGCCTAGAGACACCATCTTAATAGGAGACACAAGTTGGCCATATCGAGACAGTGCAGTGGACAGGGTGTCATTTTTAATAAACGGGGGAGCGTTAGAGATTGTGATCCTTTTAGCTGGACTAACCAGCGGGAGGACAGAAACAAAGGTTTCGTGTATAACGACACCTTTCTCCACCACAGCATTGACTTTCTCTGTACTGTCTAAAAAGATCACAATCGCTCCGTGCATGCGGGAGGCAGACTTCACACTCCCGCATCCCACCACGTCTCCACGGAGCAGTTGACAGCCGGCACCAGTTTGATAGCATGCCGGCGTGTCAGCTTCTCATACTCCACACCACCCTCCACCACGGGCATACTGCCCCACCGTGCCGGTAAACCGGCCACCAAACCAAACTACACCCCAACTACAATTAGTGACAAACTAGAGGAACTATGTGAAAGAAAAAGAAACACATAAAACAGATAGAAAAAGGCAGAAAAACCTCAAACACACCAACGCTCACTCACCACGCTCTCACTCACTCCGCCATTCACTCAGAGAGAGAGAGAGAGAGAGAGGGACAGAGAGCGGGAGAGAGAGAGAGGGACAGAGAGAGGAGAGGGAGAGGGACAGAGAGAGAGAGAGGGACAGAGAGAGAGAGACAGAGAGAGAGAGAGAGAGAGAGAGAGAGAGAGAGAGGGAGAGGGACAGAGAGAGAGGGAGAGAGGGACAGAGAGAGAGAGAGAGAGAGAGGGATAGGGACAGAGAGAGAGGGACAAAGAGAGAGGGACAGAGAGAGAGAGGGACAGAGAGAGAGAGAGGGACAAAGAGAGAGGGAGAGAGGGACAGAGAGGAGAGGGAGGGAGAGAGAGGGAGAGGGACAGAGAGAGAGGGACAGCGAGAGGGAGGGAGAGAGAAAGAGGTAGATCCTCACTGACTTATCCTCCAGTCACAATAAAACATAAATAACATGAAATAATGACATTATGAATCCCATTTAAAGAGTTTTAAAGCTGCATCTATCCATCTATCATCCGTCCATCGAAATGATAAAAACAATAATGAAGGAAGCAGCCAATCAGATGGCAGCACTCACGTTTGACAGTGAGGTCAGCGTACGAGGACACGCCCACACCTCGCTCTGATTGGGCGATGCAGCGATAGCGTCCGGAGTCACCTTTGGTCGTGTTCTCCACATCGAAACTTGCCACGTAACGCCGTGTGTTCACCGGTTTGGTTTCCCTGACGACCGCCTGACGACCAGCCATCCCCTGACGACCAGGAAACAGGAAACACTTCATACAGTCACACATACATATGAACAGTTACATACAGATATTAAAATTCAAAAAGATCAACAACAGAATAAAACATGTAACAGTAACAACAATATGACTGAACGCATATATACATGTGTATGTGTATATGTGCACAGTATATATGTGTATACCTATATATATAAATCACATATACATAAACATTTGAATTAAATATACCAGTATTGACCAGTATTGATCAGTATTGATCGTGTGTACCTGCAGGTAGAGCAGCAGGTTGCTCTGTGGTTGTCCGTTGACAGTGCAGTGAAATGTTGCCGTCTGTCCCGCGTTCACCTCCACACCTTTAATGTGCAGGAAGTGTGGCGTGCTGCCTGAACACACACAGAGGTCAGAGGTCACACACTAATGACAACATTACCTGGCTGTTACCACCGTTAGGAATCAGGACCAGGTAAGTCGCCATGGTAACAGGTAACCTTTTCCCGTGATGTCTTGAGCAAGGCAGCGAAAAAACTCAGGGATCCAATCAGAAAATGGAGGCAGGTGTGTGTGTGTTTGTGTGTGTGTGTGTGTGTGTTTTTAATGTTCATATAACAAAGCAACATCAAAATGCAGGTAGATAAACAGACGGATGGATCAAAGTCCATGCTAATCAATTTATATCTTAATTAGCTCCCCTGTCTCCACACACACACACACACACACACACACACACACACACACACACACACACACACACACACACACACAAAAAAAAACAGACTGACCTTGATTCTACGATGCCAGCTCAACTTTTAATATCGTTATCCAATTAAGTAGCCAAACCTCGTTAACCAATTAGGAACCTGTTCTACGAGGGGGCGGGGCCTTCCTTTATGTGCGTGTGTGTCCGTGTGTGTGTACTTACTGCACTGGTGTCCCTGCAGCGTGATGTCCTTGATGGCCAGAACTCCTCTCTGTCCGTTGCTGATGGCCTCAAACACCACCTGACACACACACACCAACATCTGGATCAAGGTTCTCACAAACACAAACCAACATTGGGAACAAGGTTCTCTCTCTCTCTCTCACACACACACACACACACACACACACACACGCACACATCTGCATCAAGGAACTTTATTGTTTACAGCTGTCTCCTGTTGTTAAAATAAAGCTTCAGCATTTTTCTCTGTTCTGCTTCTAATGTGTGCACCTGAGTGAGAGAGTGTGTGTGTTTGTGTGTGTGTGTGTGTGTGTGTGTGTGTTCACATTCCACAGTCTTATCGCCATGGAAGCCAGTGGCACAGACATCCTGTTGGCGTCTAGAGACAGGAAGTTCTCCCTCCATCTGCAGACTCAAACTGACTGACCCCCCCCCCCCCCCCCCCCGGTTTATTCCATTCAGCTCTGACTCCTCTTCCCTCCATTCTTCTTCTCTCCTTCCTGTTGCGTCTTTGTTGATCCTTTCTTTCTGTCTCTTGAAATCACTTCCTGTCTGAAGTGAAAAAGTGAATAGAGGGAGGCGTCACGTCTGAGTGGAGCCGCTGATAAACGCTTCTGCACAACCAGTAAATGTAAATACAAATATAAATATAAATATAAATATAAATATAAATATAAATATAAATATAAATATGAATATACATATACATATAACCCCCTTACCCCCAGATCTATACACATCTGTCAAATCTATTTTGCAGTCTCAAAACCCGTCTCAAAACTCTAACATTTCTACTGAAACGAGCTCTCCCTCTCTCTCTGTCTCTCTCTCTCTCTGTCTCACTCTTTCTCTCATTAACTCCATCTCTCTAACGAGATGGATCTGTCGTTGCCATGGTGATGCAACTAATTAGTGACGCCTGCTGTGATGATAGGACAGCTGTAATTGCAGCCTGTTCACAACCCATAACACCTGTGTGTGTGTGTATGTGTGTGTGTGTGTGTGTGTGTGTGTGTGTGTGTGTGTGTTTATGATTGGCTGTATTGTTCTGAATCAGTTTCTCTTCTTCTGTAGTAAAAGCAGACGGTTCAGCTGGAGGTTCCACTTTAGCCCAAAAAAAAAGCTGTGTGCAACCCCCCATCTACTTAGAGCTGATGACATATCGACTGGTGCCCCCCCCCCCCCCCCACACACACACACGGATTCCTGCCAACAGTTCTCTGTGATGTCTTTGAAAACTCATGATGACACTGATAAATGATATCATGTAACAACTTGACCCCCCCATCATGAGTGTGGGGGGTGGGGGGTTCCGACCCGGTGCTGATAATGACAGCCACACTGGGCAGTGGTGAAGCTGTGATGCTGGGTGAAGAGGTTAAAGGTCAAACGTCATGAAACATACTGACCTTCATGTTTGTATGACATCACTCATCAGCTGTTCATCATAACACACTGACATGAGGAGTGTGGACTGAACAGCTGATGAGGTGAGCTCTGCACTCCACTTCTTTTCTATTCAGTTCTATTTTGTGTTGCAGGTGTCGACAGGAGAAAAAGATCTTTTTTGGCACAAGAACGTTCCCGTGGTGAGAGAGCTTCACCTCCTAATGCTGTAGTGTGTGTGTGTAGCTGCAGCCCTCATATGGTTTAGAGATGACAGAGCTTTTAAAGCCACATTGAAGAGCTTTCAATATGGATCAACCACATCCAGAATGTGTGTATGTGTGTGTGTGTGTGTGTGTGTGTGTATGTGTGTGTGTGTGAGTGTGTGTGTGTGTGAGTGTGAGTGTGTGTGTGTGTGTGTGAGTGTGTGTGTGTGTGAGTGTGAGTGTGTGTGTGTGTGTGTGTGTGTATGTGTGTGTGTGTGAGTGTGTGTGTGTGTGAGTGTGAGTGTGTGTGAGTGTGTGTGAGTGTGTGTGCTGTTCTTGACTCAAACAGTGATCTTACATTTGGGATGTTTGGCCTGATTATTAATATCTGCAGCTTCATAGATTAAAAGTTAGTTTTTTGCTTTTATTGTGAAGGAACAGTGAGAGAGACAGGAAGTTAGGGAAGATAAATAGAAAGACAATGAGAGAGAGAGGACGACCTGGGTTAGGGTTAGGGTTAGAACTGAGCCTGAATGGTATGAGCTCGACCAGGTGAGACACAAAGCTGCAGGTCTTGTGACTGATGTCAGATCAGACTTGATCAGCTGATTATTAAAGGACTCAGATCAGGGCCACTAAATCCTGATTGGGAACTCCCTAATACAGGTGTGTGTTTGTGTGTTACCTGGTAGTAATTAGGCCAGAAGGTGGACACAGCTAGCTCCACCCCCTTCCAGTTGTGGTAGGCGGGGCCTGATGAGTTAAATACCGGAACTCCCAGAGGACTGTGGTTCTCTGCAGGAAACACAAACACTATCAATCACAGCTGAGAGCACAGCCTCCACAAAATCACACCTGATTTCAGAGTGTAGTAGTATTCTGTATTATTGGTAGAGTAGTACTGTAGTACTGTGTGTAATACTGTAGTACTGTGTTGCAGTATTTGTACCTTTGATGTAGACGTTGAGCCCTGCCCCCTCACGCCCCCCCCCCTGGTAGAACATGAAACTGACGCAGTGTGTGTCGTTCTCTTTGAGGGGGGGCAGCAGCAGCTGAGCGCGCTGACCACCATGACGACCTGACGTGTTCACAAACAGGAAGGAGGAACCTGCGGACAGGAAGTGGCACCTCATTAACAAACACAAGACAAAATAATTATAATTATAATAAACAGGGAATGAAGAAAATAAAACTTTTATCACTTGTTGATGTTTAACAGGAAACACAATTGACGAAATAAAAGACTCTCAATGGTGTATTAGAGCAGCAGTGTGTGTGTGTGTGTGTGTGTGTGTGTGGGTCAGCAGATCAATGGTCCTTGAGGAGAATCGATTAGAAAAACAAGACTTTTAATCATGGCAGAGAAAAGGAGGAAGAGTGAGTGAGGACAATAAACACTGATGAAAAGAGAGAGAGAAGAATCTTTACTGATGACTTTCTTCGTGTGTCAACATGAACACGTGTGTTTAGATCACCTGATTAAACCCCTCTTCTTCTTCTTCTGTCTGAACGTCAGTGTTCTCTTTCAGGTCAAACACATTTCTGAGGATTGTCCCGACTCGTTCAGTCATGTCTGTGTGTGTGTGTGTGTGTATATACCAGCGGTTTCCTTAGCAACTGAGGAATGTTGTAAAACAAACAGCAGAGTGTGTGTTCATGTTTTCTGGTATAAACTATATTTACCCCTGGAATATCAGGAACATGTGGAACAGTCAGAGATACAGTAACTGATCCTGAAACCTGGACTCACCAGGAACCAGTTTGAGTTTGACCCCTGACTCATCAGAGTTTAATGTTTCAGTCCAGGAGCATCAGAGTCTCTGAGCAGTTATTTCCTGGTTATCCCTCAGGTTCTCCCTCATGTTCTGTCTAAGGTTCACTCTCAGGTTCTCTCTCAGGTTCTCCCTCATGTTCTGTCTAAGGTTGACTCTCATGTTCTCTCTAAGGTTGTCTCACAGGTTCTCTGTAAGGTTCTCTCTAGGTTCTCTCTAAGGTTCTCTCTCATGTTCTCTCTAAGGTTGTCTCTCAGGTTTTCTCTAAGGTTCTCTGTAAGGTTCTCTCTCATGTTCTCTCTATGGTTGTCTCTCAGGTTCTCTCTAAGGTTCTCTCTCATGTTCTCTATGAGGTTCTCTCTGAGGTTTTGTCTCATGTTCTCTCTCATGTTATCCTCAAGGTTCTCTCTCATGTTCTCTCTACGTTCTCTCTAAGGTTCTCTCTCGTGTTCTCTCTAAGGTTGTCTCTCAGGTTTTCTCTAAGGTTCTCTGTAAGGTTCTCTCTCATGTTCTCTCTATGGTTGTCTCTCAGGTTCTCTCTAAGGTTCTCTCTAATATTCTCTCTGAGGTTTTATCTCAGGTTCTCTTTAAGGTTCTCTCTAAGGTTTTCTCTGAGGTTCTATCTCAGGTTCTCTCTTATGTTCTCTTTAAGGTTCTCTCTCAGGTTCTCTTTAATGTTCTCTCTAAGGTTGTCTCTTAGGTTCTCTTTAATGTTCTCTCTAAGGTTCTCTCTAATATTCTCTCTGAGGTTTTATCTCAGGTTCTCTTTAAGGTTCTCTCTAAGGTTTTCTCTGAGGTTCTATCTCAGGTTCTCTCTTATGTTCTCTTTAAGGGTCTCTCTCAGGTTCTATTTAATGTTCTCTCTAAGGTTGTCTCTTAGGTTCTCTCTAAGGTTCATTTTAATGTTCTCTCTAAGGTTCTCTCTCAGGTTCTCTTTAAGGTTCTCTCTAAGGTTTTCTCTGAGGTTCTATCTCAGGTTCTCTCTTATGTTCTCTTTAAGGGTCTCTCTCAGGTTCTATTTAATGTTCTCTCTAAGGTTGTCTCTTAGGTTCTCTGTAAGGTTCTTTCTCAGGTTCTCTCTCATGTTCTCTCTATGGTTGTCTCTCAGGTTCTGTCTGAGGTTCTCTCTCATGTTCTCTCTCATGTTATCCCTGAGGCTCTCTCTCATGTTCTCTCTGTGGTTCTATCTCAGGTACTCTCTCATGTTCTCTCTGAGGTTCTCTCTCTTGTTCTCTCTAGGTTCTCTCTAAGGTTCTCTCTCATGTTCTCTCTAAGTTTGGCTCTCAGGTTTTCTCTAAGGTTCTCCGTAAGGTTCTCTCTCATGTTCTCTCTATGGTTGTCTCTCAGGTTCTCTCTAAGGTTTTCTCTGAGGTTCTCTTTAAGGTTCTCTCTCAGGTTCTCTCTCATGTTTTCTCTCTGTAAGGTTCTCTGTAAGGTTCTCTCTCAGGTTCTCTGTAAGGTTCTCTCTCATGTTTTCTCTCTGTAAGGTTCTCTCTAAGGTTGTCTCTCAGGTTCTTTCTCAGGGTCTCTCTCATGTTCTCTCTATGGTTGTCTCTATGGTTGTCTCTCATGTTCTCTCTGAGGTTCTATCTCAGGTACTCACTCATGTTCTCTCTGAGGTTCTCTCTCATGTTCTCTTTAAGGTTCTCTCTCAGGTTCTCTTTAAGGTTTTCTCTGAGGTTCTATCTCAGGTTCTCTCTTATGTTCTCTCTAAGGTTCTCTCTCAGCTTCTCTTTAAGGTTCTCTCTCAGGTTCTCTGTAAGGTTGTCTCTCAGGTTCTCTCTAAGGTTCTCTGTAAGGTTCTCTCTCAGGTTCTCTGTAAGGTTGTCTCTAAGGTTCTCTCTCATGTTCTCTGTAAGGTTGTCTCTCAGGTTCTCTGTAAGGTTCTCTCTCATGTTCTTTCTATGGTTGTCTCTCAGATTCTCTCTGAGGTTCTCTCTAAGGTTCTCTCTGAGGTTCTCTCTCATGTTCTCTCTGAGGTTTTCTCTCATGTTCTCGCTCATGTTATCCCTGAGGTTCTCTCTCATGTTCTCTCCAAGGTTTTCTCTCATGTTTTCTTTCAGGTTCTCTCTCAGGTTCTTTCTCATGTCCTCTGGTTGTTGTTGTGTTGCTCAGTGTGGGTGAGTGTGTGCGTGTGTGTGTGTGTGTGTGTGTGTGGGACTGAGGGACACTGTGCTCAGGTGATGTGATCTGAACGTGCACCTGAGCAGAATAATTGAATTTATCTTAACAATGGTCAGTTATTAGTTGATTGATTATTGATCGATCGGCAGAGACTGAAGCTGTAAGACAGAAAAATATCTGCTGCTGTTCACACGTTTACACACAAACACACACATCTTATTCGTGTCTTGGCGTCTCTCCCTCTTGTTAGCCTCCCGCCCCCCTCTCACCTGTCGGCCAATCACAGAAGACCCCTGCCATCTGTAAAACCAATCACATCAAACCCAGCTCGCACACAGATGGTAGGGGGTAATTCTATTACCAGAGTTATATTGAGACGTGATGAGAGGCAGCTGCAGCGTATTGAGAAGATTTACACACATGCACACACACAAACAGGACGTGTGTGTGTGTGTGTGTGTGTGTGTGTGTATGTGCCCTCCTGCTCTCTGTGATTTCTGGATGTTAAAATGTCTGAAAACACGTCGATACAAACATCAAACTGTTCTTCATTTTAACAGGAAATGTGTTTAAAGGGCCAGTTCCACTTTTACTGATCAGCTGATTTACATGTGGTAAGAAGAGACTGTACATGTTCACACATGTCCCAGTCTTTGTGCTAAGTTAGGTTAACAGTTTCCTTCTTCTCCAAGGCTTTGTGCTAAGCTAGGCTAACAGTTTCCGTCTGGTTCCAGTCCTTGTGCTAAGCTAAGCTAAGCTAAACACACCCTGGCCCTGCTGTATCTCTGCACACAGACATGAACCTGACATCCATCTCAACAACAACAAGAGGATTTTACCCAAATGTCAGAGTGTTTAGATCAAGCAGTCGGCCAATAGAGAGCCGTCGTGTCAGTGTGACCTCTCCTCTGATTGGTTGGATTTCAGTCACAGTTGCTCTGAGTGTTTAAACTCCCTGAATGAGGCTTGAATTGGTTTTGGCAGGAGACTGATAGTGGCTTCATACAGACTGGACACACACACACACACACACACACACACACACACACACACACACACAGACATACACACACACACACTCAGAGCCATGTCATGTTCAAAGGCTGGGTGAATCTCCTGCATGCCGACACGCTGATAAACCCTTTAACACAGTAATTAACCCAGACACACCAACACACACACAAATACACACTCACTCAGTTTTTTATTTATCTGCCAAACAAAGTCCACAACTTCAAACTCTCCCTCTCTCTGTTTCCTCCTATGTCTCTCACCCTCATTCACCCTCCACACTTTTACTGTTTACCTGTCGGCATAACAGCAGCTGTGTGTGTGTGTGTGTGAGTGTGTGTGTGTGTGTGTGTGTGTTGTGTTTGTGTGTGTATGTGTGTGTGTGTTGTTTACAGCAGTTTGTATTTTTTTGAAAAGTGGTTCTGACCTCAAGGTCTCTTTGACACAGAAAGGCATTGTGAGTTATCACACAACAGACAGACAGACAGAGAGAGAGAGAGAGAGAGAGAGAGTGTAGTGTATGTATTTGCCTTCAAGCTTCACCGTGTGTGTGTGTGTGTGTGTGTGTGTGTGTGTTTACTGTGTGTGTTTACTGTGTGCAGCTGGCACTGAGCTGATAACAGCCCTATTAGAAATATTAATATACCCTGAACCCCACAGAGACACACACACACACACCAAAGGCATCTGTGTGTGTGTGTGTGTGTGTGTGTGTGTGTGTGTGTGTGTGTGTGTGTGTGTGTGTGTGTTCCCTTTGGTCATCCCTTATTGGAGCAAATCAATTAAAAGCCTGAGACCAAGGAGTTTCATTGGTCGACAGCTGTGACTGACAGTCGGTGTCCTGTTCGAGAGACCGAGACTGAAGAAACACGGAACAACCAGAGAACTGCAGGATAACCTGCACGCACCAGAGACGATAACCAGAACAGAAAAACAACCAGAGACCAGAACAGAAGAAGAACCAGAGACCAGAGACCAGTGCAGAAGAAGAACCAGAGACCAGAGACCAGAAAAGAAGAAGAACCAGAGACTGTGACAGAAGAAGAACCAGAGACCAGAGACCAGAAAAGAAGAAGAACCAGAGACTGTGACAGAAGAAGAACCAGAGACCAGAGACCAGAAAAGAAGAAAAACCAGAGACCGGGACAGAAGAAGAACCAGAGACCAGAGACCAGAACAGAAGAAGAACAAGAGACCAGAA